TTTTTTTTTTTTAAAGACAGGGTCTTGCTCTTGCTCAGGCTGGTCTCAAACTCCTGAGCTCAAGCAATCCACCTGCCTCAGCCTTCCAGCGTGCTAGGATTGCAGGCATGAGCCATAGTGCCTGGCCAAAGCAGCCTTTTCTTTACATTGGAGTTTCCTGTTTGGACGAGTGTCTGGGTTACATTACTTAGTCTTTTCTTTCTTAGCAGGCCAGATTTAAAACTCTCTTCTGCAGAAATTGATTGACCTTCTTTTTTTTGGCAGTTTTTGGCCGGGGCTGGGTTTGAACCCGCCACCTTGGCATATGGGGCTGGTGCCCTACTCCTTTGAGCCACAGGCGCCACCCATTGAAATCTCTTGACTTTCAAATTGCCCTTTTCAAATGGGAAGACTCATTCTATCTCTTTACGGTATTTGCAGACTTCTCCCCTCTGAAAAGTAAATTCAACTTTGAGCACCTGACTTTGCACTTTGCACTCACCAAGTGAGTGAGCACTTGGTGATGATAGTGATGATACTACCATTTGTGAAGCACTGTCGGGGAGAAACTGAAGCTTGGAGAGATTAAATAACCTGCTCAGAGTCAAACAGCTAGTAAGCTGTGATTGATCCTCCGAAATTTTGTTAAACAGAGAAGTGAAAGGCACATTTTGAATTCATCCCTACCTAACTTCAGAGCTGGAATGTTTCACCATGAGGCCATCTTTTCCTGTTGCCGTGCAAGTGTTATCAGAGTACAGCCAATTGGAGCACAATTGGTGTTGATGAAAACTTGCCTACCACAGGTGCAGACTCATCTTTAAGATCAGACATCATATATTGTGAAATACATTTTCAGTAAATCTCCCCACTCAGTGATGGTTGGCATTGCTCTGTGATAATAACTTGCATGAACTTGCTTGAGAGCTCAATGAGCTTGGGTACTTCACAAAGGCTACTGAGAAGACTGTCCTGGGTACTTTCACTACAACTCCATGGAAGGCAGAAAGGATGAATTCTGTAAATAAATATTCCTGATACTTGTATTTTATAGTGGCATATCACCTACCCTGGGATCCATGTGTCCCCATACATAATTATTTTCTCCAGCCAGAAAGATGGGATGGTAGATATTCACCATAATGAGACTGTTAAACAAAACCCAGGATATGGGCTTGGTGCCTATAGCTCAGTGGCTAGGGCACCAGCCACATACATTGCAGGCGGTGGGTTCAAACCTGGCCCTGGCCTGCCAAACAACAATGACAAGTACAGCAACGAAATTGCAAGGTGTTGTGGTGGGTGCCTGTAGTCCCAGCTACTTGGGAAGCTGAGGCAAGAGAATTGCTTAAGCCCAGGAGTTTGAGGTTGCTGTAAGCTGTGATGCCATGGCACTCTACCAAGGGTGACAAAATGAGACTCTGTCTCAAAAACAAACAAACAAACAAAAAAACAAACCCAAAGCAAACAAACAAATAAGCAAGCAAACAAAAAACAGGATACCAAAATCTATAATGGAAAGAAGAATATTAGCCTAAAATTAGAAATTCCAACAATGGTGTTTTAGTACAGGAATAGAACAAGTGGGCTAGCACACCTTCAGAAAGATGGTGGATCACCGGTAGAATCTGAGTCTCTACAAACTTTCTTTTTATTTTATAAAGGCCAGATAGTTCCCTTTACCTATGAAAGCAAAAAAGCTTGTGAGTACATCATGAAAAGTAACAAATTAAAAAAAAAAACAACACAAAGTTTCATCTTACCTGCTCTGTGCTTTCAGCTGGGGAGCAGAAATTTTGTACAACCAATGCCAGGAAAAAGATTAAGAAATGTTGTAGCATGACGAGGAAATGTCTGCTCCCACTCTGCGCCAGACACCTGTCAGGATGATTTAGCTATTTTAACTCAGTTTGATGAGGTCCCAGCGGATTCTTCCTCATTTCAGTGTTTACCTTTAAATTTTTCCTTTCCTTTTCTTGGATCCAACCAGAAGAAAGGCGAAACCTGCCTTTAGACCGAGTCAAATCCAGGGTTCTTGGTGAAATTGGCCCCTCTAAATAGTATATATGTCCTGGCCGAATGACAGGATATCCTGAAGGGGCTCAAGGGGAGGCCTGGAATTTCTGTGCCTGTGAAAATCCCAGAACAGTTCCTGCCTCCCTCCTGCTGTGCCCCTGCCTCTGACGCACAGTCCTGCCAAGGATTCCAAGAGCACACCGTGGAACACCAAACGCGAAGGTCCAAGCTTGCTGTTGAGCTGCGTTGGTGCGGGTGTGCTCAATCAACACAGTCCCAGGCATGGAGGGGTGCTAAGGAAGTCTGGGTCCCTGCCTTGGAGGAGGGTGTAGCTTCACCCTGGGTAGCTGGCAAACTCTACGGCAAGGAGGTGTCTCCCTGCTGATGCCAACAGTAGTGTTTTTTGACTCACTCTTTCTTCCTTTCCATGTTACTCCAGTAACAAGTAACTGAGACCATAGTTCTAATGTCCCCTAATGCCACCTCTTCAGGGAAGCCCTCCTGCCTTCCCCTTGCATATGACCCCACAGACTCTCCTAGAATTTTGCACACAGTGCTGTGAAAGCCTAGTCTCCTCTATCACAATTCACCTGTCTGTCTCCCATGCCCAGTTATAAATTCCTGGAGGGCAGGGGGCCCTTTATCTTTTCTGTACCTCTTGAAGCCTATCTCAGAGGCCTGTACTTGAAAATAATAAAAATAATTAATAATATTAGCCAACATTGGTGGGCATTTAGGTTGTTTGCACCATTTGGCAATTGTAAATTGCGCTGTAATAAACAGTCTAGTGCAAATGTCTTTAGGATAAAAGGATTTTTTTTTCTTCTGTGTAGATGCCCAGTAATGGGATTGCAGAATCAAATGGGAGGTCTGATTTGAGTTCTTTGAGGATTTTCCATACTTCTTCCCAAAAGGGTTGTTTTAGTTTGCAGTCCCACCAGCAGTGTAAAAATGTTCCCTTCTCGCTATATCTATGCCAGTATCTGCAGCTTTGAGTGTTTGTGGTGTGGGCCATTCTCCCTGGGGTTAGGTGATATCTCAGAGTGGTTTTGATTTGCATTTCTCTGATAATTAGGGATGATGAGTATTTTTTCATATGTCTGTTAGCTATTCGTCTGTCTTCTTTAGAGAAGGTTCTATTCATCTCTCTTGCCCATTGATATAAGGGATTGTTGGGTTTTTTGTTGTTTGATTTGAGTTCTCTATAGATTCTAGTTATTAAGCGTTGTCTAATTCATAATATGCAAATATCTTTTTCCATTCTTATGGTTATTTATTTGCTTTGGTTGTTGTCTCCTTAGCTGTACAGAAGCTATTCAGTTTAATTAAGTCCCATTTGTTTATTTTTGTTGTTGTTGTAACTGCCACTGGAGTCTTCTACATAAAGTCTTTCTCCAAGCCTATATCCTCAAGTGTTTTCCCCAGACTTTCTTTTTGAATAGATTAACAAGCTGTGGTATATGTATACCACGGAATACTATACAGCCACCAAAAGGATGGTGACTATACATCTTTTGTATTAATTTGGATGGAGTTGAAATACATTCTTCTTAGTAAAGCATCACAAGAATGGAGAAGCAATAACCCAATGTACTCAATTTGGATATGAGGACAATTGATGCCAGTACATGGTAGGGGAGGGGAGAAAGGGAAGGATGGAGGGGCCCACAATGTGTGACACACCTCTTGGGGGTGGGACACTATTCATAGAGGGACTTCACCCAGAAAATGCAAGCAGTATAACCTGGCTCATTGTACCCTCAATGATTCCCCAACAATTAAACAAATAATAATAAAATCAGCTAACAATTTTTGAAAAATTAACACATGTCAGTCACCATTATAGACCTCTCCGTGGATTTACTTGTTTAATTCTCATAACCTTTGGCAAAATAGGATTTTCTATTCATATTATAGATAAGGAAACTGAGGCAGAGAGGTTCATCTCACATCCTACAGCTTTAGTTGGTGATGAACCCAATACTCCAACTTTGTGGCTCCACAACCAGTGCTGCCAACCACTCTCCTCCACCGCCCCAAACAGTACATATTTACTGAATACCTAAACAGTAGGTGGTGGTTCAGGAGTGCTGAAAACCATGATGGGAAAGTGACAGACCCACCCTGGGCAGGATTAAGTCTGAGCACATCAACTGAACATGACCCTGAAGTAACTGGGAGGCTTGTGCAGTACAGATACTAATTTTGGTTAAACAGTCCTCTGTTTCTGTCTCTCTGTCCCTCTGTTCCCCTTTTTCTCTCATTGAACTTTTGAAACATTTTTTTTATAGTTTTAAAAAATATATGTATATATTTTGAGACAGTCTTACTTTGTTATCCCTGGTAGAGTGTCGTGGTGTCACAGTTCACAGCAACCTCAGACCTTGGGGTTCAAATGATTCTCTTGCCTCAGTCTCCCAAGTAGATGGGACTACAGGTGCCCACCACAATGCCTGGCTATTTTTAGAGGTGGGATCTCACTCTCGCTCAGGCTGGTCTTGAGCCTGTTAGCTCAAGCAATCCACCTGCCTCAGCCTCCTGGAGTGCTGGGATGACAGTTGTGAACCACCATGACTGGGTGTTGTGGCAGGCACCTTTAGTCCCAGCTACTTGGGAGGCTGAGACAAGAAAATTACTTAAGCCCAAGAGTCTGAGGTTGCTGTGAGCTATGATGCCATAGCACTCTACCAGGGGCGACAAAAAGAGACTCTGTTTCAAATAAATAAATAAAAATAAAAAATTTTTATTGTGGTATAACCACATACAGAAAAGTTGCATACTATAGCCCATTTAAATTCCACAAACTAATAGGACACACTCATTGTATGTAATGAGCAGTAAAGACCTTGCCAGCACGCCAGAAACTTGCCTTACGCCTTCTTCTAAATACTACCTCCCGGCAGGGGTAAGCACCTTCCTGACTTCTGTCACGATAGGTTAGTTTTTCCTGCTTTTCTTTTTTTTTTTTTTACTGTTTGGGATTCACTAAGGGTTCAAAGTAAAAGGATATTATATTAACCAGTGATCTAGGAAACTTTTCCAGCACAGAGGCCAGCCGAGAGGTCTAAATGGGCAGAAGCCAGACAAGGAAGTCTTTATTATCCCTTGATTGCACATTAGAATCCCAGGGGAGCTTAAAAAAATTCCCAATGCTTAACTCCATTCCAGAACAGTCAATGAAATCAGAACTCCTGAGAGCCGAGCTGGGGAGTATTTTTCAAAGATTCCTTGGTGACGTTACGGGCATCAAACTGCTACTTGAGGGGAAAATAATTACTGTGTAAAACCAGTGAGATTTTGAAGTTTATCCGTTATAGCAGCTGTGTCACAGCTTTTTGATTCTTTTCTTTCTGACAGACATAGATAAATATCTGGTGTTTGGAATGGGCTAGATCTAGATGAAATAATAAAATGAACCCATACTAGCACTTCCTAAACAGTGAGCATCTCACCAAACTCTATTTAGTGCTGGGAGGTGCTGTAGGAATATTAGGGAAGAATTCTCTTATCAGACAATTTGGGAAATCTTGTCTTTGATCTCCCTGTCTCCTGGAATGACCATGCTCATTAGCCCATTAAAGGTTCTGAGAAGTCCTGCAGTAAAACAACATAACAAAATAAAACCTAACCACTTTAACTTTTTGCTTAAGGCAGTATTTCCCAAACTTTTGAGACCAAAGGATGCTTTCCCCTTTTGCCAATTCATTTGGCAACCCCCAGATCTTGTGTTCTAGCATTCTCTCCCGGGGAGACGCTGCCTCATACTTTAGCAGGTAGACTATTTTAGTTTTAAATTGCCAGAAAGTAGAAGTTAGCCTGCTAGTGGCTGCTGTCTAGGACTTGTATGTAGGGTCTATCAATTACTTTCATTTACAAAAACCCTATAACTCACACTAAAATTTTTTTTAGAAATTATCTGAATAGTTGTGTTAATTAATATTATTTCTGTTAGGCTGTTTTGGTTGCTATGAACACAGATTCTTCAAGTTATTTCAAATCCTTGCCTCCCCAGCAAATGACAGATAAAGAGTTTACAGGGATGCTTAGCACACAGTTGGCGCTCAGAATATGCAGACGTAACAGACATTGTAGGTCCAAGGTGGGTCTGGATTTTCCCTGTCCTGGATTGTCCCCGTTCTCCAGATCTGTGTGTCCCTTACTGGGCAAGATATCACTTTCTTTGCTGTAGTTCATATTCCTTTTTTTAGATTGTTGCAATCCCTGTCTCTACTGGTTCAGAGTGGTTTTGCATCAACAATATTCACAGGCAGTCTGCCCCCTCTCGTGTCCCCTGTGTGCTGTGACAGTCACTCAGGACCTGGCCATGGCTTTCCTGTTTCCAGGGCTGCTGTTCGCTCTCACTGCTTGCTCCTCGTGTGTCCCCGGATGGATAATCACCTCCCTTCCCCTGTGGTCTGTCCTCAGCCGTGGCAATGGGAGAGTTCATACCTTCCTTTTGGGTGAGAGAAGCAAGTCCTGATTGGAATCCCAAGACATTTTTCTCATATTGGAAAAGGAAAACAAAAGGTGGGGAGAAGGATGGAAACTTTTTGGGGGACATGGTGGGACATCCTCTATGGCTATAGGATTCTGGGCTGTTGGTGTTTCATTGTCTCTTTCTCTATGTCATGCTTGTTACTGAATTTTTAGTCCTTGTCCATGTGAAGTAATAAAACATTTTGTATGTACTTTGAAAGGGGATTCATCATTTTATCATCACCATCACCATCATCATAGTAAACTCATATGTATCTGTCATCATGTGCTGGGCACTCTTCTAATCTTTAGTTCATTTAATACTTTACATAGGCTTAACTGAATCTTCTTGTTGATTTTACCAAGGTAAGGATGTATTTAAATTTAACCTACTGAATTGTCACCATAAGCCTAATACGTAGGTATTGCTGTATATTAGTCCCATTTTACAGATGAGAAGACTGAAGCAGAAAGGGATGAGAAACTTGTCCAAGGTCACAAAGCCAGTAGGTGATGGGCAGGGATCTGAATCCAGGCAGTGCGGATTCACCAAGGCATCCACTTGCCTTGCTGAGTTCCTCCATGAATCTTGAACAAAGTCTTGGACCTGGTGAGGTGGCCGT